CTGACGCTGCCAATTGTTCCAGCGGTGAGAATCTTTGTCTTCTTGACATTGAGCCTCAGTCCATACTGAAGGCTGCAGTCCTTCACCCTCTGTAGCAAGTGCATGGGGTTCTCCTCAGTTTCAGCAAGCAGGGTTGTATCATCTGCATAAAGCAGATTGTTAATAGATCTTCCCCCAATCCTGACGCCACAATTCTCCTCATAGAGCCCAGCCTCTCAGATAATCTGCTCTGCATACAGGTTGAAAAGATATGGAGACAGGACACATTCCTGGTGTACACCCTTCCAAATTTTGAAACATGCAGTGTTACCCTGCTCCATCTCACATTGGCAACAATGTCTCTAGTGCCATGACCTCTTCGAAACCCAGCTTGCATTTCTGGTAGGTCCCTTTCAATGTACTGTTCCAGTAATTTCTGAGTAATCTTCATCAGGATTTTGCTAGTGTGTAATATTAGTGATGTTGTTCAATAATTTCCACACTCTGTTGGGTCATCTTTTTTTATGAATGGTAATAAATATGTATCTCTTGCAGTCAGTTGGCCAAGTAGTTGTCCTCTAGACATCTTGGCACAACCTGGTGAGCACATCCAGGGCAGCATCTGTTTGTTGAAATATGTCAATTGGTATTCCATCAATTCCTGGGGCTTTATTTTTTGCCAAGTCCTTCAGAGCAGCTTAAACTTCCTCCATCATCACCATTGCCTCTTGATCGTATGTTGTTTCTTGAAATTCTCTTATGTCAGCCAATTCTTTTTGGTATGTTGACTCTGTATACTCCTTCCATCTTCTTTTAATGCTTCCTGAATCATTCACTATTCTGTCCATAGCATCCTTAAGCACTGCAACTTGTGACTTGAATTTGTTCTTTAGTTCCTTCAGCTTAAGAAATGACAAGCGAGTTTGGCCCTTTTGATTTTCCAACTCCATCTCTTTGCACATTTCATTATAATACTTCACCTTGTCTTCCCAAACTACCCTTTGAAATCTCCTATTCAGTTCCTTAACTTTTTGATTTCTTCACTTTGCTTTGGCTTCCAAGCGCTTTAGTGCAATATGCAGAATCTCTTCTGACATCCATTTTGGCCTTTTCTTGTTCTTTCTTCTTTGTAATGATCTTTTGCCTTCTTTATGGATGATATTCTTGGCATTTTCCTATAGCTCCTCTTGTTCATTATTGTTCAAGGCTTCAAACCTTTTCCTGAGTTGGTTTTTAAGTTCAGGAGGGATAGACTCAAGATCAAATTTTGATTACTGTGTTTATGATTTAGCCTCATTTAGCTTTAATATCCATACATATATAAGGAGGTCCAGTGAATACTAGTATCATTCATATATATGCACCAATAACTAAAGCCGGAGAGGAGGAAATAGAAGATTTCTACCAACTTTTGGAGTCAGAGATTGATCCAACTTGCAATCAAGATGCATTAATAACAATGAGTGACTGGAGTGCAAAACTTGGGCACAGAGAAGAAGGATCAGTAGTTGGAAAATATGGACTTGGTGACAGAAATTAAGCTGGATATAGAATGATAGAATTTTGTTGATTACAATTTATTCATTTCAAATACATTTTACAAGAAGCATAAATGAGGACTATACACATGGATTTCACCTGATGGTATTCATGGGAATCAGATAGATCACATCTGTGGAAAGAATCACTGGGGAAGCTCAATATCAACTGTGAAAACTAGGGCAGGTGCTGGTTGTGGAACAGATCACCAACTACTTATATGCAAGGTCAAGCTTAAGCTAAGGAAAATTAAATCAAATCCACAGGAACCAAGATTTGACCTTCAGTATATCCCATTCAAACTTCATAACCATCTCAGGAACTGGTATGAGGCCTTGAACACTAATGAGTGAAGACTAGATGAGTTGTGGGCGGATATCAAGAATATAATCTGGGAAATATAAAAAAGGGCATTACAAAGAGGAAGAAAAGAAAAGATGGATGTCAGAAGAGATCCTGAATATTGCACTAGAACATTGAGAAGCCAAACCAAATAGAAAAAAATCAAGAAGATAGGAGCTGAACAGAAGATTTCAAAGGCCAGTCTGGGAAGACAAAGTAAAGTATAATAATGTGCAAAGAACTGGAGTCAGAAAATCAAAGAGGCCAAACTTGCTCAGCATTTTTTAAGCTGAAGGAAATGAAGAACAAATTCAAGCCTTGGGTTGTAATACTTAAGGATACTTTGGGCAGACTATTAAGTGATCCAGGAGGTACTAAGGAAGGTGGAAAGAGTATGGAGTCATTGTACCAAAAGGAATTGGCAGACATAAAAGAATTTCATAAAACAATGTATGAGCAACAGCCTGTGGAAATGAAGGAAGAAGTTCAATCTGTTCTGAAAGAACTGGCAAAAAGGCCCCAGGAATTGATGGCATACCAATTGACATATTTCAACAAACAGACGCTGCCCTGAATGTGCTCACCAAATTGTGCCAAGAAATCCAGAAGACAACTACCTGGCTAAGTGACTGAAAAAGATTGATGTTTGTTCCCATTCCAAGGAATGGGGACCCAATAGAGTGGAAATTATTGAACAATATCAGTAATATCACATTCGAGTAAGATCCTGCTGAAAATTATAAAAAATTGACTGAAACAGCACATCAACAGAGAACTTCCTGAAATGCAGACTGGGTTTAGAAGAGGCTGTGGATACTAGGATACTAGGATATTATAGCTAATGTTAGAAGAATCTTTGCTGAAAGCAGAGAGTACCAGAGGAATATTTATCTGTGTTTCATTGACTATGCCAAGCGTTTGACTGCATGGATCACAACAAACTCTGGCTGACTCTGAGAAGAATGGGAATCACAGAACATTTGATTGTGCTTATGCAAAACCTATACTTGGACCAGGATGCAACTGTCAGAACAGAGTAAGGAAGTACTGCATGGCTCAAAATTTGGAAGGATGTATACTAGGGATGTATTTTCTCTCCATATATTTTCAATCTTTATACACAATAGATTATCTGGAGGCTGGGCTGTATAAGAAGAAATGTGGCATCAGGATTGGAAGTAGACTCGTCAACAATCTTCGTTTTGCAGATAACACAACCCTGCTTGCTGAAACTGAGGAGGACCTGAAGCACTTGCTGCAGAAGGTCAAGGACTGCAGCCTTCAATATGGATTGAAGCTCAACCTCAAAAAAACAAAGATTCTCACCACTGGGCCAATTGGTAGTATCATGATAGAAGTGAAGGGATTGAGATTGTTAACAACTTTAGTTTGCTTGGCTCCACAATCAACACTGTTGGTGCCAGCAGCCAGGAGATTAAAAGACGTATTGCACTGGGAATGTCTGCTGTCAGAGACCTCTCTTAAGTACTGAAGAGCAACGATGTCAGTCTGGAGACTACTGTGCACCTGATCCAGGCCATGGTCTTTGCAATTGCTTGCTAGGCATCAGAAGGCTGGACAGTGACTAGGGATGATAGAAAGAGAATCAATGCCTTTGAGCTATGGTGCAGAAGAAACGCGTTGAATAGACTATGGACTTCTAGGAGAACAAACAGGTTCATCCTAGCGAGGGTGAGACCAGACTGTTCCTTGGAGGCAAAGATTTTGAATCTTTGTCTGACATAGTTTGGACATGTTGTAAGGAAGAACCAGTCCTTGGAGAGGGACATCATTCTTGGGAGGGTGGAGGGTAGGGCAAGAGTTAAGACCTTCGATGAGATGGATTGATTCAGTGACTGGAGTAATGGGTAGGTGTGTCGGAGACAATAAGATTGGCACAGGACAAAGCAGAGTTTGGAACTGTTATACATAGGGTCGCTATGAGTCACAGGCGACTCGGTGGCACATAGCGGCTTTAATTTGGACTTGCATATGAGTATTTGATTGTCTGTTCTGCCATCAGCACCTGGCCTAGTTTTGAACTTAGTACTGAATTTCTCCAATGATTCCTTTCATAGATGTAATCAATCTAATTCCTGTGCATAACATTAGGTTAAATCCATGTGTATAGCCTGTGTTTATGTTTCTTATAAAAGGTATTTGCTATGAATAAATCACCAATTATACATAATTCTAAAATTCTATACTTGGCCTCATTTTTGCCACTAAGTCTAAATTTTCTGACTACTTATACTTCCTGGTTCACAACTTTTGCATTCCAGCCACCCATTATTATTAAAGCATCTTGATTGAATGTTCGATCAATTTGTGACTGCATAATCGCTTTTCACTTTGCCAATTGGACTTATGTCTTGATTCTTATCTCAAGCAAGCCAAGTGTTTGTCTTGTATCCTGTCAGAGGAAAGAAGTTGAAAAAAATTGAAAAGAGGAAAAAAGAAAAAAATTCTGACTGTAACAGTTGGTAGAAATATGTATTTCCTCCTTTTTGGCTCTGATTGTTGATGCATAAAGGTGAATAATAGTGGCATTAACAGGTCTTCTTTGGATACATATGTATGTTATCCTGTCACTCACAATATTGTATTTCAAGATGCATCTAGAAACAGCCTTTTTAACTATGAAAGTGAACATTTTTCCCCGCCCTCAACACTCCTTCATATCCAGCTTATTATATCATATGATTGTCTGATTCAGAATGTCCCATGCCAATCCATCTCATTTTACTATTACCTAATATTTCAATATTTTATGTGTTCCATAGTAGAACTAATTTTCTCCCTTTGCAATGAAGTAAACACAATTTTCACTTTCCATAGAGAAAAAGCTGCATTTGGGTAGGTAAGCAGAGACCTGGAAGTCTGTACCTACTGTAGTTTCTGCTGCTGTTGTCCTGTAAGATTCTGGACTAGTTATACTTTCTTATCCCAAGTTTTCTTATCTGTAGGTTAGGTAGTCTCTAAGGCCATTTCCAGATCATTGTTCTTCTACTAGACCAAGGAGAGTTCTATTTTTGAGCCTGAAATAGTAATCCTTGATTTTCTGCGGGGCCTGAGAGTATTAACTGAAGTTGATTGGCAGTCAACTCAGGCTAGTCTATTTAGAGTAACTTCACACTTACCTTTCAGTGTTCTCAATGTCTGTGGAAACCTGCCAGGCGTGTTGCTGAGTGTCTGTGGGGGATGATGAAGACTCCTCTAGAGCAGGAATTTCAGCACTCTCCTCAATTTTGCAATCCAAATTCTTAGTTCCCCCGCTAGGCTCCTTTCCTAAGATAGGAGAGGATGTGGGCAAAGAGAAAGAGAGAACAAGTTATGAATTCAAGTTCTATACCCAAGATGTCTCTGCAAAGACTTGTACTTTGAGTCAAATGCTCCATTAACTCTAATAGCTTTTTAATACTAAAATATTTGTACACTTTCACACACGCGTGCGCGCGCGCGCACACACACACACACACACACACACAAAATCATACACAGTTGACAGTTTAGAGACCATATTTTCTTTCTCCTCTCAGGGAGGGGTTTGTGGGTTCAAACACTGTTCAGTTAAAAGCCAAGCACTTTACCAGGATGTGTGTGTGTGTGTGTGTGTGTGTGTGTGTCTGCGCGTGCGTGAGCGTGTATGTATTTTCAAACTGTGCTGGCAACACACTCCCGTACCACTAGGCCACTGGTGCCCTAGTGAAAAGAAGCTGCACTGCAATCCTGAAGGTATGAGCTTCTAGTCCACCAGCTGCTCTGCGGGACAAGGATGAACAATCTCCTCCTATGAGATTAACTGCCTCTGAAACCCTGCTAGAGGGTCAGCTAAAGTTTGGTTCTGACTCAATGGTACACAACAACAACAGGCCAACAGAGCTCCTTCTGGTAGCCTAATGGTAAGAAGATGCACAGCAATTCCCGAAAATGTGGTTCAGATTCACCAGCTGCTCTGCGAGAGAAAAATGGCAATCTCATCCCATGCTATCTATTGTTGTTATGTGCCATCAAGTTGCCTCCTTCTCATAGCAACCATACGAGTAACCCTATGCACAATAGCTCTGAACACTGCCCTATCCTGAGCCAGTCTCACTGACTCCAACACACCCAATCCCATTGCCCCATCTCATCTGGGGTCTTCCTTTCCTGCACTATCCTTCCATCCTTCCAAACATGATGTCCTTCTGCAAGGACTAGTGGCCATAATTTACCTTTCCATGTGATTTAAATTAAAAAAAACTATTCAGAGGGACAGCAATGGATTGGTTCTTACTCGATGGCGCACAACAATATGTCCTTGGAGGGGGACATCATGCTTGGAGGAGTGGAGGGACAGTGAAGGAGAGGGAGACCCTGGAGGAGATGGACTGACTTAGTTACTGGGGTAATGGGGGTAGGTATGTCAGGAACAATGAGGTTAACACTCAGGATAAAGCTGGGTTCAGAGCTATTGTACATAGGGTCTCTAGGAGTTGCAAAAGACTGGACAGTACATAAAAACACACAGTTGCAATACAGTTTCTTAACACAAGGCCACCATGTTGTTGTTGTTGTTGTTGTGCACTCTCAAATCTGAATCTACCCATAGTATATATATAAATATGTTGTTGTGGTTATGTGCCGTCGAGTTGCTTGCGACTTATAACGACCCTATGTTCAACAGCCCTGAACCCTGCTTTTTCCTGTGCCAATAGCACTGCCTCTAACACACCCATCCCGATTACCCCAGTCACTGAATCAATCCACCTCAAAGAGTGTCTTCCCCTCTTGTGCCATTCCTCCACCTTACCAAGCATATCTCTCTCCAAGAACGAGTCCCTCCTTACAACATGTCCGAAGTATGTCAGACGAAGCCCCAGAATCCTTGCCTCCAAGGAGCAGCCCGGTTTAACCCTCTCCAGGTTGAATCTGTTTGTTTTCTTGGCAGTCCATGGTACACCCAATTCTCTTCTCCAGCACCATAGCTCAAAGCATCAATTCTCCTTCTATCCTCCTTAGTCATTGTCCACCACTCCGATGTGTAACAAGTGATTGCAAAGACCTGTATCAGACGTACCTTAGTCTCCAGAGACACACCATTGTTCTTCGGTACTTTGGAAAGGACCCTAGCACCAGACTTTCACATCACAATATGTCTTTTAAATTCCTGGCTGCTGTTGCCAAGAGTGTTGACTGTGGAGCCAAGCAGACAAAGTTATTAACAATATCTTCACCATCCATCCTGATGCTGCCAATTGGCCCAGTGGTGAGAATCTTAGTTTTCTTGACATTTAGCCTCAATCCATATTGAAGGCTTCAGTCCTTGACCAAGCAAGCGTTTCACGTCCTCCTCAGTTTCAGCAAGCAGGATTGTGTCATCTGCATAACGCAGATTGTTAATAGATCTTCCACAAATCCTGACACCACACTTTTCCTCATAGAACCCAGCCTTCCAGATTATTCTGCATACAGGTTAAAAGGTATGGAGATAGGACACATCCCTGATGTATACCGTTCCCAATTTTGAACCATGAAGTGTCTCATTGCTCTCTTCTCATGGCTGTCTCCTGGTCCAAGTATAGGTTTCGCATTAGCACGATCAAGTGTTCTGGGATTCCCATTCTTTTCAGAGTCAGACACAGTTTGTTATGATCCACACAGTCAAACGCCTTTGCATAATCAATGAAACACAGATAGACATTCCTCTGGTATTCCCTGCTTTCAGCCAAGATCCATCTAACATCAGCTACAATATCCCTAGTACCACGACCCCTTCTAAACCCAGCCTGGACTTGTGGCAGTTTTCTGCTGATGTGCTGTTCCAGTCGTTTTTGGATAATCTTCAGTAGAATCTTGCTTGCATGTGAAATCAATGAGATTGTTCTATAGTTTCCACACTCTGTTGGGTCACCTTTCTTTGGAATGGGAACAAATATAGATCTCTTTCAGTCAGCTGGCCAAGTAGTTGTTCTCCAGATTTCTTGGCACAACTTGGTGAGCACGTCCAGGCCAGCATCTGTTAGCTGAAATATGTCAATTGGTATACCATCTATTCCTGGGGCCTTATTTTTTGCCATTTCCTTCAAAGCAGCCTGAACTACTTTTTTTATCACCATAGGCTCTTGCTCATATGTTGTTTGATGAAATTCTTCTGTATCTGACAATTCCTTTTGATCCAGTGACTCATTGTATTCTTTCCATCTTCTTTTAATACTTCCTGGATTATTTAATATTCTGCCTAAAGCATCATTGATTATAGCAACTCAAGGTTTGAATTTGTTCTTTAGTTCCTTGAGCTTAAGAAACATTGAATGAGTTCAACCCTTTTGATTTTCTGACTTCAGCTCCTTGCACATTTCATTGTAATATTTTACTTTGTCATCCCATGCTGCCCTTTGGAATCTTCTGTTTAGCTCTTTAGTATCTTGAATTCTTCCTTGTGCTTTGGCTTCTCTGCACTCCAGTTCAATATTCAGAGTTTCTTCTGACATCCATTTTGGTCTTTTCTTCCTCTTCTGTCTTTGTAATGACCGTTTGCACTCTTCCTGGATGATACATTTGACATCCTCCCACAACTCACCTGATCTTCACTCATTAGTGTTCAAGGCCTCAAACCTGTTCCTGAGATGGTTCTGAAATTCAGGTGATACAGACTCAAAGTCATATTTTAGTCCCTGTGGATTCAGTTTCATTTTCCTCAGCTTCAGTTTGTACTTGCATATGAGTAGTTGGTGGTCTGTTCCACAATCAGCTCCTTGCCTAGTTTTTAAAGGTGATATTGAGCTCCTCCACTGGTTCTTTCCACAGATGTAATCAGTCTAATTCCCATGAATACCATCTGGTGAAATCCATGTGTATATGCTGTGCTGCAATCCCGAAGGTATGGGAGAAGGATGGGTAATCTCCTCTTGTCTGATTAACTACCTGCCAGAGGGTCAACTATGGGTAGATTCAGACTTGACATTACACAACAACAACAACAACAATATGGAGGCCTAGTGTTGAGAAGCTGTACTGCAATTGTGTGTGTATAGATAGATAGATAGATAGATAGATATAACGGATGCTGCCCTAGATGTGCTCATCAAGTTGTATCAAGAAATCTGGAGGACAACAACTTGGCCAACTGACTGGAAGAGATCTATATTTGTTCCTATTCCAAAGAAAGGAGATCCAACAGAGTGTGGACATTATCGAACACTATCACTGATGTCATATGCCAGCAAGATTTTGCTGAAGATTATCTAAAAACGACTGAAACAGTACATCATCAGAGATCTGCCACAAGTGCAGGTTAGATTTAGAAGGGGTCATGGTACTAGGGATTCTCGAGCTAATGTTAGATGGACCTTGGCTAAAAGCAGGGAATACCAGAGAAATGTCTATTTGTGTTTCATTGATTATGCAAAGGCGTTTGACTATGTGAATCACAACAAACTGTGACTGACTCTGAGAAGAATGGGAATTCCAGAACACTTGATTGTGCTAATGTGAAACCTATACTTGGACCATGAGGCAGACGTCAGAACAGAGCAAGCAAACACTGCATGGTTCAAAATTGGACAGGGACCTGTCCTATCTCCATACCTTTTCAACCTATATGCAGAACAGATTATCTGGAAGGCTGGAATGTAGGAGGAGAAGTGTGGCATCAGGATTGGAGGAAGATTCATCAACAATCCGAGTCATGCAGATAACACAACCCTGATTGCTGGAACTGAGGAGGACCTGAAGGGCTTGCTGCAGAAGGTCAAGGACTGCAGCCTTCAATATGGATTGAGGCTCAATATCAAGAAAACAAACATTCTCACCACTGGGCCAATTGATAGCATCATGATGGATGGTGAAGAGACTGAGACTGTTAACAGCTTTAACAAAGCCAAGCAAATTAAAGCACAATCAAATGTGGTGGGATTTCTGTTCTTTTCAGAATCAGGCACAGTTTGTTGCTATCCACACAGTCAAACACCTTTGCACAGTCAATGAAACACAGATATCTCTCTTGTATTCTTGGCTTTCTGCCAAGATCTATCTGGCACTGGTGATAATGTCTCTAGTGCTATGACCTCTTCTTAACCCAGCTTATATTTCTGGCAGTTCTCTGACAATGTACTGTTCCAGTCGTTTCTGGATAATCTTCGGCAGGATTTTGCTAGTGTGTGATATTAGTGATATTGTTTGTTAATTTTCACTCTGTAGGGTCACCTTTTCTGGAATGGGAATAAGTATGGATCTCTTCCATTCTGTTTGCCAACCAGTTGTTCTCCAGATTTCTTGGCACAACCTAATGAGCACATGCAGGGCAG